TCATGAATTATTAATGAGTTTTTTAAGCCATCATACTTATACATTTATTGGCTGGGAAACAACAACAGCTATTGCCAATTACAACGGCCTCAGTAGTTATACAGAAACAATTTACAAGGTATACTAAACACACTCAACAGACAATACTTGAACAACAGTTATTATATTTGTCTAAAGGCAGCATCTCAATGGAGAGTTCATTAAACTTCGAGCGGAATTACATTTTATACACACACTTTTCCATGTCCGGGGATCCTCAACATCGTATGTATTTTCTTAATGCTAAAATATAGTACTTAAAAAGATTTGTAGTCCTATAGTACGTCAAGTACACTGTGTGTTTACTGTAATTCGTTAAACGTTTAGGGTGGGAAAGAAAATCTTGTTGCTTTAACGATTCGCTGTGTCCTATTCACTGGAGCGCCCAATTAATTAATAAATAGTGAAAGAAGTCTGATCGCAGTCCGACTGAAAGCTGACCTAATTTGAGGTAGAGAATGGGAAAGAAATATTTTTTAGAACCCTTCTCCTGCATAAAGTCTCTATACTAAACAGAAGTTTTGAAAAAAAAATTGTAATTAACGACTATAAGAGATGCAGAGCAGACAAAAATGTTTAAAATGCTGAATTAGCAATGCTGAATTAGCATTTTTAAACCAATTTGGTCAGCGATCATTCCATAACGAGTGACTTCATAAAAGAGCTTTGTTCGTGTTATGTAGGACTAAGTATGTGATGGTATAAAAATAAAATTTTAGTTGTTTTTCCTTATTACGCATGATGTTATCGAAAGAATAATTTTTGGCAATCTTGATTTTTAGAATTTCCATGCTCGTTTATGATTTTATCTTTTTCTAGGCCTCGTGCACGATCAGAAATTGCGGCGACAAATTGAAATTTAATATAAGCTATCTCATCTTAGCTGAACATGCATAGAATGTACATGCTGGCGTGTACTGAATATTAATGGTGACATACCTGTACAATAGGTATATGTGGCTAAGTGTATAGTCCATGTTAATAAATTTTTGAATTTTGAATTCAAGATATAGTCGGCAAAGCTTTTGGTTTACTAGCTGGTACAATTTCGAGATTACGAGAAAGGTTAGGACCAAGAAAACTATTATAAACTTACTATTTGACAGGTGCCATGATATACTGGTGCTCGAGATCACTATGTCGAGATTAAAGTCTCTAAGGGTTAGTTTCCGGTAATTTCACCACGGTAAATTAATTTTACGTAAAATCACAGAGACTAAAAAATTGCTAACGAAGCAGGATTTTTTCCCTACGAAATTGCGACGAGAGCCGAGTTTCAAACGGCAAAAAATGTCTAAAAGTCTTTCAAACTATTCAAAACGAAGGAAAATAAACCTGTAAAATAAAGCTGGAAGGAAAATAAAGAACGGGAGAATATCCACCCTCGGTGTTGCTGTATTGACCTCGCCATCGCTCGGTCAATACAGCAAGACCTCGCTTGCCGGCTTGGATATTTTCCTGTATATTCGGTCAGTGACTTATTACTATTACGTCACTGAAGGGCTTGAATCCGGGGTTTTCCATTAATTTAGTTTATTGTACGATCATCCAGATTAAATTTTTAAATTATTTCTCACGTTTCGGCTACCTACACGGCAGCCATTATCAAATACGTATTACAGTTACAAAAAAATTTACAGTTATAATAATTTTATCTTGCGTCAAAAATGACGTGCGCGTGTTCGTGATGTTGTTTGCTCGCGCCTGCGTTCAAGCATGGATAATAAAATAAATGGATAGGACTCTAGCTGACGTAAACAAAAACAACCTAGTTGCAATCTGTGACGTCACACATATTGCAAAGTTCTCGGCATTTTTGTTGTTTTGCTATACTTTCCGCATTAAAAGAGTAATATTGAAGCATAAACTATTCTAATTGTTTTAAAAACATGCCTAAGCCACGACAAAGTATTCAAGGTAAATGTTTTTCGTCTTTGTTTTGTATTTTTTTACATTTGTAGCTACGAAATTGGCATCCCCAATTTTAACGAAATTTGGGATGCATTTTTCACTGTTTAGTGCTTGAAATATTTGTTAAAATTGACTGGGAATACTTAGAGATTTCATCGTAGAATGGCGTAGTTCTATTCATTTGCTATTTGACTAAAATGTTTAGCGGTATTATTGTTAAAGATGCCGTTTTTGAGAATTTGGTTTGCAACTAGGTTTCAACATGCAATCACGCCATCAGCCCATTGAAAACATTAGGTCACGTCAGCTAGTTTCCTATCCATTTATTTTATTATCCATGGTTCAAGGCATGCATGAGAGCCTGCGTTCATGCGTGATTAGTCCAGCGTATGCTCCTGGCATATCGCGGCAAATGTTAATGCTGTTTCAATCGCATTTTGTAAACCAACTTTCAAAGAACATTCTTTCATCCTCAAAACCATTAAACTCCATACAAGTGGCTCCCTCCCAATCAATTCTATGATTTGTTTCCATATGATGAACCGCAATTCTATTCGCCACGTCTTGTTTCTCTGTTGATCGCTTATGTTCTTTAATGCGACAATCTAGGGTACGGCCAGTTTCACCGAAATAAGTTGCGGGGCATTCAGCGCAGGTCACTTTATAAACTGTTCCTATCCGGGTCTTTGTATTGGTTGGATCTTTCACTTTCGTTAAAGTATTTCTTAGCGTTACCGTATGTACCTTTGATGCTTAGGATGGTGGCAATGATCTTCTTCCGTTCAGTTTCGTCGGTAGTTGGTGTTGTTTTCCGGGAATGTTCAATTACGTTGTTCACAAAAGGTTTAGAATATTTGTTGATGGTAAAAACTTTATCAAGGTGCTGCAACTCATCTTCGAGGGTTTCACTA